AAAAAAAAAAAAAAAAAAAGCTTCTCCGTATTAGTTATCTCCTCATTATCAAGTCCATCTAAACCTTGGACCTCACGAACCCTACCAAGATACCATAGACTCTAACCCCATGCCATGTGTGCTCCGGACCGGAAATGAGATATTGTTTGTTTTACCGGGAAGGAACAATCCCCTTTCTTTTGTTTTTTTTTAACTTTCCTCTTAAAATAAGTATTAACATTTACTTTTCATATTGAAAGTCTTGTAATATAGCATTTCCAGTAATTTACATAATAAAGTGCAATTAATCATTATTACATAAGATTTGAAGTATGTTCAAATTTTATTACATACTAAATAATAGAGTGGGGCGCATGCATATAATGTGTCTCATCTATATTAAATAGGAGAGGTGTTACACAATATCATACATAAATGTGATTTCCTTTTTGGTTGCTAGAGAGGATGTGTAATAGTGGTCCTGTTTCTTTTTTTGTTTTATTATATTACTCTTTAGGAGTTTTTTGTATTTTATTTTAATTCTCAGGAACTCATTAGAGCATTTCCAACTTATAAGTCAAAAGTGTCACATAGACATTTAACGGCTAGAAATAACATCTCACATCACTCCAACTGAATTGTCAAAGCTGATATGGAATGAAGGCTGGAGGTTTAGTCGTTACTTTTGACATCCCAAAAGAAAGATGTCAAATAAATATTTTATTATTTTTTTTAAAGACAGCTGGCTGTTACTTTCATTTATTATTTTCCTTTTTTATTATTTTTATTCTTTATCTTGAATGATTTGACTATTACTATAATTATTTATTTGACACATTGGGTGGAGTGTAAAATTGTGTAAATGTCAAATTGCCATATCAACCATCAAATTTAAATTTAATGTTTGGTATTTGACATCTCCCTTGGAGATGCTCTTAGGAGTTTGTTGTGTTTTGTATTTTAATTTTCAATTGAGATACAGATCTGCCATTTATGCTGTTGCGCCGTGAATCTGTATTGTTAGTCTGAGTACATGTGCTTCGGGCTGCTGAATCAGAGGTTTGAGTATTTGTTAGTTTAGGCATAATTCTCTCCAGATCAAATCAACATGTTGTTGTGTTTGGTGACTGGAGATATTGTACCCATTTCAGCACGTTTGTGGCTTTGTACTTATTATGTTTCATCAATAAATACTATTGTTTTTTTTTTTTTATAAATAAAAAAAGTGATTTCCCTAATGTAAATAACAATGGTTCTCGATATGGGCTGTATTTATCCAAATCATAAAAGCCTATTATATACCTCAAGTGTTGCTAATTATTTTAAGGGGTTCTTAGATCTAGGTCCAAAATAATTAGTTGTCATTGGGTTTAGTCCGTGCGTTTTTGGTTTTAGATATTAGTCCTTTGACTTTTATTACTCTTTCTATTGTGTCGATTTTACCCTTTGAGGTAAATAAGGAAAACATCGAAAATCTAAATTTAATGAATTATTTACTTGTAATTTAAATTTTGAATTCTTTCATTCATGATATTTACCTAATATATGGGTAAAATACAAATTAATCAATGAAAGTAAAGACCCACATATTATACTAATCGATTAGACAAGCACCCACATAAAATTATGTACCTAACATACAGGTAAATAGTTTTCTTATTAGCAACGAAAAACTTAGTGACAAATCGTGTTACTCATAAGTTATGAACATAAATTAGAATACTACATATAAGTTAGGAACATAAATTAGAAGACTACCTATAATTCAGATACAAAAATAGACAAATAAAATTGTATGTTACGTATAAAAAAAAGTACATAAAATACTATTATTCATTGTCTAAAATATATATATATATATATATATATATAAAATAAAAAAAAACACACACACACACATATATATATACATGCAATAGGCAATAAGCAATAGGACAATATATCTACACCATAGGATAATATATTTACGAGAGTATATACTATACCTCTATCATAGGGTGAACAAAAATAAAAATAATTACCTACAACTTTTCGAAGAAAACGAAAGGGAAAAGGAATCTTGTAACATGGAATGCCATGATCTTGGGTCATATTCAAAATCATTAGCATGAGGAGGCTTTGGAACTATATGTTGCAATGTACAGATTGATAGATTGTCAATTGATCGTACAAGATTAACATTCTCTATCATAGGGTATATATAAATGAAGAAAAGAAGAAGAAGGAAGAAGAAATTGAGAAAGAAGAAGAAACAAAAAAGAAAAACGTGCATGTAGTTAATAAGCTAAATTGAATGAGAAATAACCAAGGTGGTTGGTGTGAGTGGTTCAGCACTCTCATTCCTTAAGAGAGGTCAGGGGTTCGATCCCTACTCTCGTACGGAGTCACCACTTTGGCCAACACTTTACCCCTTACGGGCCGATCCGGTGTGAGTGGGGATTAGTCTGGGTTGTGGTTAAGGCTTAAAGGTGTCACCCATAGTTAGGGCCCATCCAGGACCACCTCATGATTCAGACAAAAAAAAAAAAAAATTTGAATGAGAAATTATATCTCCAAAATAATAAATAATCCTAAAATTATGTACAATAATAAAATCTACTCTAAATAGGAATTTGCAGAAGTCTAAGGAAAAAAAAAATTGAAGGTCCGACAGTTACATTCAAAATGTAATTATTCCTTTAATTGTATATAATCAAATCTAATCATTAATGATCTATAAATCCTCATCTGACCCGATTTAGACAATAGGAATATAATATGAACAAAAAATTTAAATAGAAATCAGTTAAATACAAAAATTTGAATCAACATGTCAAAAATGAAATGTACGTGGCAAACTAATCAAAGAACTTGTATAAACAAATAATAATTCGAGGACTAGACGTAAACTATTGTTTAGATTTTTGAACCTCTATCAACTTTTCTATTATTTTAAACAAAATATGAGATAAATTGATCACACCGAAAATTTCATTATAAAATTCCGAACATTTTTTGTAATTCTCATAATTTCTTTAACAGTTTTATCGATACGAATATTTTATGGATATTTTAACCAATATTTTCAAAGTTTAATTAAATGATTTCAGCCACAAGAATTCATTATTATACGATGCATTTGGATGATTGCCACCAATTTGACATAAGATGCCATATGATTTAATAAAAGAAGAAAAGGAGACGGGACCCACTTAATTTATTTTGCAAACAGAAAGGCGGACCCACCCAAAGGAAAGTAGCTCCCACCCAGTCCAAGTCCCAACCGCAATGAACTCCCAGACAGCAATGTCCAAAAATTTCCTCCCAAATCAACGGTACAGATGTCGAAATTTAAAATGACGCAATACAACGGGAGACCATGGTACTAGCAAGGGGCCCATAGCGGTCCCACACCCTTCCCATCGGTGGCCACCGTTGGATCAAATCAGAAAGCATCGCCCTCAATGCTGATCACACACAGGCAGTTATAAATTCATTAACCAATTTTTTTTTCATTAACTAATTTATTCACGCTCCCAAACAAAATAACAAATCCACCCCCCCCTCTCTCTCTCTCTCTCTCTCTCTCTCTCTCATTTTATTTGTCAGAAAAAATGAAACCCAGAAATCTGAACGAGACCACTCTCTCTGTACTCCGTGTGTCGCTAAGAGTTACTGAGTGAGCCGAGCTGAGCCGAACCGCATTGAGCTTAGCTACCTGCCTAAGTAGCCATGGCTGCAGCGCTGGAGTGCTGGTCTAGCCGAGCGAGTACGGATGAGGACATGGTGGAGCAGGTACTGATGCGGACGCAGGACAGATCGGAGGGGGCGACGTCGGCGCCGGAGAGCTCGGCCGGTGTCGGAGTGAAGGAGTCGTCGGCGATGCAGAAGAGGCTGCAGAAGCTGAGCCGGAACGTGTCCGAGGCTATCGCGTCGCTCAAGAACTCGCTGAATCTCGACTCGACAAGTGACTCGGCAACGGCGCCGTTTAACAAAATCGAGAGCTCTAGGAAGTTAGTGTGGGGCAGTGTTGTTCGGAACCTCACGCAGCTCTACCCTGGCAGTCAGCTCCCGGAGAAGCTCGTCTCCAACATTCGCAAGCATTACGATTCTTTGCCCCTCAGGTTTTGAAAGCTTTTAGTTTAGATTGAATCGTTTTTGAATCTATAGTTAGTTGTGAGTTTTTCTTGTTTGGTTTTGCAACATTTTTTGAGCAGCCAAACACACGATTTGGGTTGTGTTATTGCTGATTTTACTTATTTGGTGATGATGGTTTTTCTGTATGTGTTGAACAGTTATGCTCAGGCGGGATTCGAGATGAAAGAAGTGTTTCTTCATATAAAATTGATAGAGCAGGCATCAGTGGAGGGCCATCCTGCCATGTTGATTCAAGAGGTGTCTGAAAATGAGACTCAGGGCTCTGTATTCAAGCTCACATTTGCTTGTAATTCTTCGATTTCATGGCCGGTGATGTCCAGTGCACTTGATAGTGAGTCGATTTGCTACAAGAAGATACAGATCTTTGAGAAGAAAGGGTGTACGATTGGAGTTGTTCTTCTTCTGGTCGAAGGTGGGGAAGAGAAGTTGTTCAGAAATCGGATTGAAATTGCTTTGAAGTCAGCCATAAAGAAGCCCAAACCTAGCACAGTGAAGCTCCCATTTGGACTATGTGGTTGTCAAGAAGAGAATACTAAGGGGAGAGAGGTGGGAGATACTGAAGAGGACATTGGTGAGCAAAATTATAGGAATGGAGTTGATATTTCTAGCCAAAAGATTCAGCTTCCCAACCCTCTACCCACTTCGTCATTCGTTGTATCCGTAGATGAATGGCAGACAATACAATCTGGTGGGGATGAGATAGGGAAGTGGCTGTTGAACTCTGATAATATTGACTTTGTTGATCAGATTGGACCCAATTCATATAAGGGAGTTTACAAGGGGAAAAAGGTTGGAATTGAGAAGCTTAAAGGGTGTGACAAGGGAAATTCTTATGACTTTGAGCTCCGAAGAGATCTTTTGGAGCTCATGACATGTGGGAACAAGAACATTCTGCAGTTTTATGGCGTTTGCATTGATGAAAATCATGGGTTGTGCGTTGTGACAAAGTTGATGGAAGGTGGATCAGTATATGACATGATGCTTAAAAGCAAGAAGCTTCAGATTAAGGACATATTAAGGATTGCGATTGATGTAGCAGAGGGGATCAAGTTCATGAATGACCACGGCGTTGCATATAGAGACCTCAATACACAGCGTATCTTATTAGATCGACACGGGAATGCTTGCTTAGGTGACATGGGTATAGTAGCTGCTTGCAAAAGTGTTGGTGAGGCTACGGAGTATGAGACTGATGGATACAGGTGGCTAGCTCCCGAGGTTAGTACGATCCAATGAACTAATAGATAATAGAGCTAGGACTCATCAAGGATCCTGGTATTTTTATTTCAGAAGTTGAGCTAGCCCTTTAGACCACATTTTGCACAACTATAGCTATAGTGTCATTCCATGCATTTTCTACTTCAAACCAGTTAGAATGAGTTCTTCCATGGCTACAAACCTTTAATCCTGTCAAATTGCATCTTCAAAAGCTTTGGGGACAAATTTACATTGCTCCATTTTCATATACATTGCATACCCAATTGTGCCATAAACTAAATTCACTTATGTTGCTGTTGTTCCAAGGACTTGCTGATAGGATCGAATTGCAGATAATATAGACATTATTTTGCTACTGCAACTTTACCTGCATAGAGCTTCCCAGCATGCAAGATCTGATTTCGTTTCTATGGATAGTGTGTTAGGTTTCACTAGCACTCACAGTAGATTCAATGTATCAAATTCAACTTTTCAGGATCAGTCCATTTTGCATTTTCACTAAAGACACTTTATGTCACTTATCCCGACATAATTGTTTGAGCATGCCTAACATGTCTTCATAATTGTTGATACTTTACATTTCAATATACTGTTTACCTTTATCTTAGCACTCCTCTCCCATAAAACTTTGCCTAACCACTTTTATGCATTCCACTAAATAAATCAGCTTAGCAGCAACCTTAGAGTAGTACTATTTTCAGCAATACAGGTATTATGTGCGGAGCCCACAAAATGGAGCTTTTAAGTTTTTAGCATGATCATAATTCAAGGATTATAGCCTTTCCAGATCAATTTTTTGATGCCACTCTATAAACTCATGTTTTATCTAACTTTTATTAGCTTCTGATAATAATTGGATGCTGCTACAAACTCTGTGTATAAGATACTTGATGATGAAAATAAATTATTTTAAGGTTGTTTGTTTAGATTTGCTTTGATTTAGGTCAGGGGAAATGCGGATGCAAATCACTTAGAACAGAATGATTCTTTTTTTCCTTTCGGCAAGTTTGGCCTCTTGGGACCACCTTTTGTCACTTTCACTTTTATATATTATCTACAGATTTGAATAACTCCAAAATGCTTGACAAATGTGGTATCTTTGTTCATTAAAATAGAACTTAAACTTGAAGTTGTTCTTCCTTATAATATATTGTAGCTCGTCTGTGATTTGAAGTAATTGTATTCAAGCTGTTCAGCATAGTAGGTGGGATCTTTTATTCACCAAAGTTATGCCAGTTCTTCCTGGGGTTTATCTCATTATTTGTTATCTGAAGACTTAAAATAACAGATATGGTGTTTACTATTTTCTTTCGTCTTTTTGGTTGCACACAGATCATTGCTGGTGATCCAGAGAGTGTTAGTGAGACATGGATGAGTAATGTGTATAGTTTTGGGATGGTAATTTGGGAGATGGTGACTGGTGAGGCAGCCTATGCCGCATGTTCACCGGTCCAAGCAGCCGTTGGCATAGCCGCTTGTGGCCTTAGACCTGAGATCCCAAAGGACTGTCCACAAATGCTGAAGTCCTTGATGACCAAGTGCTGGAACAATAGCCCATCAAAGCGCCCTCAATTCTCTGAAATTTTATCGACACTGCTGCGAACCAACAACAACAGTAATAGGTGAGCATCCTTGGCTACTTCTAGTATATCAATACTACTCATGTAAAAGTTAAAACTACCCCTACTTAGGGGAGTAATCCACGCTCAATGTAGATGCAGAAAAGCTTAATTATGTAGCTGAAATGAAGAAAAATCTTCTTTCATCTTCCAACGGAAAGAGATCTCTCTCTGATTCTATAAAAGAAAAGAAAAAAAGGGAAAAAAAAATGTATATTTTATTGTGTTCCTATAGGATGTCTGTGTGTTATGATTTCGGTGGTGGGAATATTGAATTCATTTGCCTTGCCTCCGTCATCATGATTGATTAGGCTACGATTAACTTTATGTTTAATAATAGAACTTGAGAAAGTATGAGGGGCACGAGATTGTCTGTCGGGCCTAAGAGCTGTGTGAGAAGGTGATGGAACTTGGACGCTATCTTTTTTGTTTTTTTTCTCTGTAACGTTATTCATGTTATGTCCCAAAAGAAAAGAAAAGAAAAGGTTGTGAAAAGAAAAGGTTGTCTTCTCTTTTAGTTCTATCCGAGGGACACAAGGGGGGGTGTATGGACATCTTGTTTTTTGGGTCCCATGAAAAAAGAATCATCAGGGGAAAATATCAATTCAGTATTCATATATTGATTTTAAAAAAAATTGAAGGAAATTAATAGAAAAATTTGCAAATTTATAAAGAAATTTCAGGATATGTTTTATGTTGTGAGAATGTCCCACATTGAAAAACTAGCAAACCTGTCAGGGGTTCAATTCCCGCTCTCGTATGGAGTCACCACTTTGACCAACACTTTACCCCTTACGGGCCGATCCGGTGTGAGCGGGGATTAATCTGGGTTGTGGTTAAGGCTTAAAGGTGCCACCCATAGTTGGGGCCCATCCAGGACCACCTCGTGGTTCAGACAAAAAAAACAAAAAAAAACTAGCAAACCTTGAAAGGGCTCATAAAAAGTTGGACTACTCCCCCATTACCAATTGATTTTGGGGTGGAAGTTTCAAGTATCGAGGCATGAGGTTTAGAGCACTCCTCACATCCAATATGAAGCACCTGACGTTAGCTAGCTGTTTCATTTTTAATTTTTTTTTCACGTTTAAATGTATATAAAATTCGTTTTTTAAATATATATATATAATTGTTTTGAAAATGCACCAATTTTTTCAAAATAGCTGTTGTGGGATTTTTTTTTAATAAAAAAAAAATCTAAAATATGTCTATAAATATCTTAAAAAAATTTCACTCATTTCATTCCACATTTCTTTAAACAGTACATAATAGTGGAATGTATGAATGTTGTATCATAGTTTTTCTCAAAATAATAAAATATGAAGGATAGTCTTACATTTTATTTTAATTTGGTCAACTGGATAGTCCTACATCATGCTTGGTTGGAAATGGAAAAATTTAACCCTACACTATTCTTTAAAGGGTAAAATGCTGAATATCCCCCTGAACTATCACGTTAGTAGAAATCTCCACCCTAAATTAATTTTTCAGCCAATTTAGCCATTGTATTAAATTTATTCGCCGATTTCACCCTTGCCATTAGTTTTTTCGCAATTCCATCCAAATGCCGTCAAATATAAGGGTAAATTTGACATTTTACAAGGTATTGTATTAAGGAAAATAAGGAAAATGTAATATAATATATAGAAAATTCAGTATAAGTCCAATTCTTATGACAGAATTTGGGTCCAATCCACACATTTGTTGTTAGTAATTCAAGTCCTCTGACTTTTGTGCCATTTAGGATTACTTACCTTTTTTAAATTTCTAAGGTTTATATTTTATTTTCTTATTTTTTTAATTTATGTTGTGCTTCCAATTTTGCCCCTAAGATAGAAATCGGGTAACCTAAAAGACAGCAGAATATCAGAAATCGCGTTAAAAATCATCAGACGCCAAGAATAGAAAGAATCGTAGAAATCAAATCTTCCACAATCAATTATGGTCCTGTCAAGCCGATTTCTGCAGATTTCATGCTTCTTAATTGCCGAGGGTTTTGGGTTTCATTTTAGAGTTGAATTTACCTTTCGTCTTCTTCAATTGCAGCCGGTGGAAGTTGCCGTCGTTTGGGGATTCTCACCTTGCTTCTCCATCAATTGCAGTGCCTGTGTTCCAGGTATGTTGTATATCTACCTCTTCTTGAACGAAACCTGCTTCTTGAACGAATTTATATATGTAACTACTGGTTCCTGAACCAATTTCTTTTTGTTTTTGTTTTGTAATTGAACCTGTTAGTCTTTGACGATAACTGAACCTGTTTCCTGAACGAATTTCTATCACACCCACTGTGTATAGTACCTATGCCATAGGTACACACTCAATGGGTTACCTGTAGGGTAGGTCTACGTGAAGTGCCATATCCAATCACAAACTGATAGTTGTTACCACTGACAGATTTCGGTTGAAAAACTAGAGCACATGCATAACCTTTATAACCAAAGGTTTCAAACACTTCATTATATGCTCTTATGGATGAGTGCTTTATCTAATGAATAGACATGAAATTTCTCTATTGCAGATTCATAAGCCAGAACGGTTTAATTACAGATTCATACACATGATATTTCTCTATTACAGCTTGGGTCCAATGGGAGATTCTTGGTTACATATTCATAACCCAGAAGGGTTCAATTTCATTTCCTTTTGATCAACAGGAAATGAATAACACGCTGCTCAATGCATTCAATGAGGCTTTTGATGAAAGGTACAAAAAGCACTCTAATTGGGTCATATATGACGGAAGTTTAAGGAATAAAGAATACTGAAGTTGTTTTATACCAGAAATCGATTAAAAAGAGTACTGAAGGTGCTTTATACCACAAATCGATTAAAAGAGTACTGAAGTTGCTTTATGTAAATAGCACTCTAACTGTTTCAGCCCAAGATTGGCAAGTATTCCAGAAATCGATTAAAAGAGTACTGAAGTTGCTTTATGTAAATAGCACTCTAACTGTTTCAGCCCAAGATTGGCAAGTATTCCAGAAATCGATTAAAAGAGTACTGAAGTTGCTTTATGTAAATAGCACTCTAACTGTTTCAGCCCAAGATTGGCAAGTATTCCAGAAATCGATTAAAAGAGTACTGAAGTTGCTTTATGTAAATAGCACTCTAACTGTTTCAGCCCAAGATTGGCAAGTATTCCAGAAATCGATTAAAAGAGTACTGAAGTTGCTTTATGTAAATAGCACTCTAACTGTTTCAGCCCAAGATTGGCAAGTATTCCAGAAATCGATTAAAAGAGTACTGAAGTTGCTTTATGTAATGAATAGACATGAGAGAACCAGCAAAGTTTAGCATAATTGAAAGGCAACAGCCAACACTCTACAACGTTCACAATCTTAAGTTGTTAATAATCATTCAACAACACTCTACAACACTCTACAACTATAACAGACGGCCACAAATCAAAACACATGATGTTTAGGATTTTACCACAACGTACCTATAGCATAGTTACAGTTTCAGAAATTACCTATACAACAGGTTGTAGTTGATGATTAAACATAGTACTGATATTTCTCTATTTGCAGCAATACCATTAACCAATGATTGAGAAAAGCAACAACAAACAGACTATCAGAAAGCATCAGGAACAAACCATAACCAAAAAGGATGAACGTATCATGAATGAGAGAATTTACCTGGGATACAGATATTTCAATTGACGAAACAGTTTCTGATAATCCAAAAAAATCGGGTGATTCCATATGTAATCGTGATTTATTAGAAGGAACCCACAAATCTTCCCATTACGGAAACAAAAAATCAATGAAAATTGGCTAAGACAGAGCATGACTTTTGGGTTTTCTGCGATTTGGGGGATTTGAGATATCAGATTTGGCTAAGCGTCCTTTACTTTCCATTTGTATATAATGGCAGTAGTCGTAAATAAATTAAAATTTGGGGCCACACTATTTGCTTAGGTGGCTGCACGATTGGGGTTTAGGACTGGGATTAATAGGTAACAATTACTGTCCTGATATCAAATTGTATTCTTGAAATTGGACCCATATCTAAGAGCCCTGTAATATATTTAAACGGTATAGCCGGCCGGCTATACTGTCATCCCTTATCCTCACTTTCTATTCCACTTTCAGACCCACCACAGCCCCAAATTCACCACCTCGCCATAACCTCCCCTGGTTCGAATATGGGATGTGGCTACACTACAACAGACTCGAATGGACTCACATCGAATGGAAGATATCTTGCTACTAGGAAGGTAGAAGCAAGAAAACAATCGCAAAAAAGGAATTAGCAATGGGGATTTCCAAAAGGTCCAGAGGCGCACTTCCTTAACTTCAGGGGGTTGTTGCTGCAAAGGCTTGTCTTTTTCCCTGGGTTTCATCACCAGTGCATGCTGAGGCCCTTTCTCTTAGGGAGGCGTTACAATTTGTTGGTGATACGAGCTTTAATCACTTGCAGATGGAGTGTGATGCATTGGAGCTGGTCCAATCGCTGAGCCATACAACGGCGGATACTTCCTCAATTGGTTCTTTGGTGGAGGACTGCAAAGCGATCCTTGCGCTTTTGCCTACTACTTCCATTATGCATATCTCTAGAATGGCCAACAAAGTGGCCCGTAGACTAGCACAACTATCTTTAACTCTGACCTCAACATCCACTCGGTCATGGGATATGGGTTGATGCAGATATGAGAAAAAAATAATTTGATGAGGGTTTGTGTACAAAGCTTTGATGCAGATATGGGTTGCAGATTTGTTTTCGCCGTTGATTTCTTTGGCCTGGTTTTTTTTTTTTTTTCTTCGAACTTCTGGTTGTTTACAGAGAAAGAGAAGAGAGACGAAGAAGAAGAGAGAAGAAGGATCAAGAGATTTGGGTTGCACAGTTGGCATGTGCCATTCACGTGGTGTTTTTAACAGAGATTTGGATGGGAAATGCCAAAAACTAACAGTGATGGGTAAATTAGCGATAAAATTTAGTACGAGTGCTAAATTAGCTGAAAAATTAATTCAAGGTGGAGATTTCAAGCATGATAGTTCAAGGGGGGTATTCGGCAGTTTACCATTCTTTAAAATAACAATATTTTAGAGTGCTAAATTGTAGCCATTCATTTGGCCTATAGCCCATGACTGGAGATGACCTTATTGACAAACTAGACGATGAAACGTCAATTGAGGTCGAGAAACTACTTGCTTTAAGAAGACAAGATACATCAAAGTGAGATTTCAGCTACGCAAAGAGTTACAAAAATTTAACAATGTAGTTTCCGAAACAAAATAAATTAAAATTAAAATTCTTACATATTATGCTATATATAAACATCAAGTATGGCTCTTCTGAAACGAATTAGCCAAAACATGAATTAATAAATCAAGTGTATCATAATAGAACATAGTATACTATACGAATTATATATATAAAAGCAGAATAATTTTGACATATGTGTTCGTTTTAATAAGCAAATTGAATCCTTGTATAATAAACATGTTTTACTCAAAGGCATTAATCATGATGTGTCTTTTATCTTTCTTCATTTTTCTCGAAGAGGTATTTAGAACAAACAGACCCCGTGTTTTTTAGCATAAATGTTTCAATCCTGTAAAAATATCTAACGGTTCATCTGAACTAAACCGAGCCTTTTAAATTGCTAAAATCCAAAAGGTTATGCCAAGGGAACTGAACCCCCTAACCTTCCCCTTTAGATTTTACTCACCAAACCACTAAGACAACAATGCTTCTTGTGTTAATGATGCATAATACTTCCAACGAGCTAAAATTTAAATAGATATATTTAAAAATTTAACGAACACATATCCTCTTTGCCGCATCTAATCCAACATATTTGGCTCTTTCTTCTTTTATTTTTCTTTTCTCTTCCATCGCTCTTTGTCTCCTCTCTTTCTCCTCCTTTTTTTTTTTCCACCTCATCTCTTTCTCCTCCGCTCTTCTCTTGCCTAGCATTTGTCTCTCGCTTCACCAAGCCTTGCCGCCTCGCATTGCCTTACCTCAGCGTGAAAAACGAAACGAAACCACACTGAACCGTTCGTCTGGTTAATCGAGGTCATCAATTTTTTAGGGTGGTGGTTCGACGTTAGTTTCAGAATTCCTTCTAGCGAGGCACTCAATTCGGTGTGTAGTTTTGGCTCAACACCGAACCAAACCAAACCGAGCTCACTCCTAGTTGTTCCTTACGGTTACTCGCGTACGTCAAATCAGTCCATGCTGTTAGGTTCCTACAAAATTCAGTTAAATGGTTGACATTGAACATAAGTGGAGTACATATGTCCAATAACATCACGCCACGTGAATTCAATAAAAAATATGTATTTTTAAAATTCTCCCCTTCCTAATTCCCATTTGTCTCCCCCCTCTTTCTCTCTCTGCTATGCACAACACACCACCCAAAATGTGCACGAGACACTAATCCAAAATACGCGTATGAAGGCATTAGAGGCAAAAAAATTCCATAAAAAAAGTCATTAAAGTGGCATACATTCTATAACAATAAAAATCCATTACTTTTGTACAAAGGAGAAAATTTAATATTAAGCGAAATTTTTTAAGAAAGGTATAAATGAAATTGATCTCGATAATGGGTCCAAGGTGGCTTGCAGCTAGGATGGCTGGGTTTGGGCCCAATGGCTGATCCATAGAGGTGCAAGGAGGTGCAGCTGCATCTTTCCTCGCTAAAAAATGCATTGGAGATTCTGGAATTTGCACATCTGCTTGTGCTCACCGAGTGTTCGATTAAAAGCCTCAAAGAGGCTGTTTTGTTGTTGTTGTGTGAGACCCTGAAAATCTACCTTAGATTGTTGGGCTCGATCTCACGATCATGTAGGAGAAAATGGTTTGTCAATTGGACCTCTACAAACAAAGTTATAAATTTGAGAAGATTTTGAAATTTTTTCACCTTAGTTGCAGACTAAGTCGAAGAAGAAGACGACTGGAGTGTGAGAAGCTAGAATCCCGTGCTTTCTAACTTTAACTCTTTTTTAATATGATCCTCTATCAAGGCGCCATGTGTCAAATTTTAACTAGGCTAACTTTAAAAATTCATTAAAAATTCATATGTGCTCCGAAAAATTCACTAAAAATTACCCTGAACTCGTAATCACATGTACTTTTATCTCGTGACCTCCAAATCACATGTACTTTAGGTTAGATTAATTGGTATTGATTTTGGTTAAATTGTGTAACCTGAATTTTGTGCATATTAATTGATATACAAAATAGACTATAGTCAATTAGTCTTAGATGTAAAACTCTTATATATTTTAATTATGAATAACATTAGTATTGTTTAAATTGTAAGGCTATTTGGTTGTTTAAATTTTTTTTGTTGTTTTCATTTTAGCCTTCTTAATATTGCCCCTTTCGTGAAAAATTCATGGATTCGCCATTGGTTGGGCCACATGGGTCTCAGGTGGTTGATTGAGGGGGAAGGGTGCTAGGGGATGGGTCGGGGAGAGGCAGAGAGAGACAAACTCAAAGTGCAACTCTCGGGGGTCTAAACTAGAGGGAGAAAAGAGAGCGCACAGAGAGGGGGAGAGGGAGGTGAAGGGGGACGGAGATAGAGAGAAGTTGGAGGCTTTATGGATTAACTACATTTTACTCCCTTCAAGTTTAGTGTTATTATCGAAATGGGCCCCGATGTTTCAATTTCATCAATATGAAACTTGTAAACTTACCTTTTGATTTTATGTTAAAATGGTGACGTGACATGAATGATAGTCTTTTTTATGCCGATGTGTAATAGAAAACAATAAAGAAAATGGCAATGGCATGCGTAATTTGACAACAATTTAACAGAAAAAGAAACGTTGAAGTTGATGGAGGTGTAATTTGAATTTGGTCATATTTAAAAACGTTAGGTTTCATGTTGATGACATTGAAATCTTGGGGCCCATTCGATAATGACCCTAACCTTTAGGGAGTACAATGTAGTTAATCCTTTTTTGGATTAATTTAATTTAATTTATTAAATTGTTTTAGGGATTTTAAGTTTTAAACTATTTTATTTTATTTTTCTTCTTTTTAATCCACATGGTGCGGTGTCATTGGTCATATGTGCTCCACTTACGTGCCACATAACCAATTTAACAAAATTGTGGACGAAACCTAACGACATGGACTAATTTATGTATGTAGTGTAACGTTAAGCACCAACCATGTCGCCAACGGGGTCTAGTCCAATGAAAAAGGACCTTGACTTGCATGCTAGAGGTCTCAGGTTCAAATCCCCACGACATCATAGTTTTGTGTGTGTGTGAGAAATACCCCATCTCCTGTAGTTTAGACGCTTGAACTAAAAAAAGAGTACCAACTGTAAAAAAAAAAAAAAAACATAAATGACTAAGGGTGATAATTTTGTAAACCTCAACAATCATTTGTGAAAATAACCATTTTCGGAATAATAGAAGATATTCAAATTTTAAATAATAATCATATTTATTACGTTTAACAATTATTTATATTGATTTCATTATGCCTAAGCTATAATTATGCATTACACATGTCGATTATTGTAATGGTAAATATGGAAGTGTGACAATTGTACGTGTAAGATGGCTTATTTAAAAACACGCAGAGTTTCTGTATACATAACAAAGTATGATGATTTACAGGGAAGAAGGCAGAAAACAAGCTGATGATTTGCATAAGAAGAGGAATGGCTCATTCCAAAAAAGAAACCAAAACTATGATAATTTGCAACGGCTCTTTGCAGGAAACGAGCCAAAAGGAGTAAATGGCATAGTTCGACTATACCATGTCATATTGACTCAAGGCTTAAGGATCAAATTTCCATAATTTGAGCGCATAAACAACAACAACAACAATGTTCAGTGAAAAAATGACTTGACTTGTAAACTAGTAGTTTCATGTTCGATATACCCACTTGGCATTTCCCTCTTCCTCTCTCAGCAGAAAGAGAGAGTTGACGGTATACCGGTCTTGACCCAAAAAGAGTACAGTACACCGGTAGCCTCCGTAAACAGCACCTGTCCTCAGCTTCTCCAAAAGCCAAACCAAAACCCCTCGAAATTTGAAAATGAATAAGAAGTGAAGTTCCATAAATACCCTTCTCGGGCACCACCTGACCACCTCCTCGTATAAAACCCCAAACCAAACTTCTCGATCTCTCTACCCCTCTCCAAAAATCAAACCCAAAATCTCAAGAAAAGCACAAAACCCACACAGCAAAAACCAGCTTAATCAACCAATCCCACATCTCTCTCTCTCTCTCTCTCTCTCTCTCTCTCTCAGATTCCAATCTTCTTCTTCTCACAGTCCTAATCGGTACGTTAATTATACCTCTCTCTCTCTCTCTCTCTCTCTGTCTCTTCCTTTTTTAATTACTCTCTTTCTTTGGTTTTTGTTGCTTTAGAATCAATCATGCTGAAGTTAGGGTTCAAGTTAGGGTTTTTCATGGTAGCTTCGGCGCCGATCCTTCTCGGATTGGCGTTTCGAACTTACTTCGGCGGCGGTGACGCCAATTCGCGTTTCTCGATTCTTTTTCTGGTTTTGAGTTTGGTCGTTTCGGTGATCATGGCGTTTTCTGGCGTTTTCAGCAGCTTACTGCACTATATGCTTCCAAGAAAGAGACCTAGTAAAGGAGTGGTTGTAGAAGAAGAAGAAGACGCCATTGTTAGCAAGAACAACAGCACCAGCTCCAGCTCCAGCTCAGCCGCAGCATCTTCTGTTAAGAAGCATCAGATCGGCCACTTCGTCGCCGAATCGACTGTCAACAGCAACAGCCTCATTAGCAACAACCACGGCATAGTTGAAAGGGACGTGCCAATCATGGCTTTGGGCCATTCCAACCCCTCCGATATCGACGAGGATCTGCACAGCCGGCAGCTCGCGGTCTATGGCCGCGAGACTATGCGGAGGCTCTTTGCATCGAATGTCCTTATCTCGGGGATTCAAGGCCTTGGCGCTGAGATTGGTATGAATTGTGGCAACTCTCTGCTTGTTTGAGTTATCGTTTTCAATTGGGTTTGTAGTTAATGAGAGATAAATGAAAACAAAATGTTGAATTCTGCTGTTTAAATTTTTCGCTTACCATGGTAAACAGTGTTGTGTATGTATGTGTGTATTTATTTTCTTTTGCTGGTGTTTTTTTTCTTCTCCAATGTGGACTTTTGCTTCATGCAGCAAAGAACCTCATTCTTGCTGGTGTCAAGTCTGTGATGTTGCATGATGAAGGGAACGTGGAGCTATGGGATTTATCCAGTAATTTTGTATTTTCTGAGGATGATGTTGGCAAGAACAGAGCACTTGTTGCTGTTCAAAAGTTGCAGGAACTCAACAATGTTGTGGTTGTTCATACCTTGACAACCAAATTGGCCAAAGAACAGCTTGCTGATTTCCAGGTACATTTTTCTGTAGTTATTTACTGGTTGTTTAGTGTTATGCAAGTTATCAAGTTTATACTTTTGGGGCATGTTTGGGGGTCTATTTGAATCACAATTGCTGGACTAGGTTTTATTAAATTACTTAATGTTTGATTATGATGACTAAGTGCCTTCGTTAATGAATGAGGGAGGGCACATAGATAGTGAATAATAATGTAATTTTAGCACATCTAAAGACTGATACATGGTAATTTTAGCACATGTAAAGACTGAGACATGCAAGGAATAGTATTTTCATAGGCTATATATGAAACTTCCATTACCTAGAACTAGAAGGGTGTTCATTTTTTATATGGAGAAAGGGAGCGGGGAAGGTGTTTTAGCTATAGCTAGCATGAACTAGTCTCCTGAAGGTGACTTTCTAATTTCGTACTGCATCTATTTATACTCTGCCTGTTGGTTTCAACACCTTGCTTCTCTTGGGTTTTCATAGTGAACTATTTTTGCTTCTGTTGGTAGCTTTAAAGTAATCTAGTTCTGATGATTTTCCTAAATATCTATTACAAATGGTTATATTAGCTCCATAGAAATTGTAATTTATGTTCTAGTTATCAAAACAAGTGTTAGATATTCAAAATTGTGAATCCCGTAAGAAATTATCTATTTTGCAGAAGGATTTAAAATTCACGAGTGTATTTTTTCTAGTGTGGTAGTTTTATTTGGGTTTGTACAGGCATATAATTATTTTCTGTTGTTGTAGGCTGTTGTATTCACTGACATCAGTCTTGAGAAAGCCATTGAATTCAATGATTATTGTCATAATCATCAACCTCCAATCGCCTTCATTAAAACCGAAGCTAGAGGCCTCTTTGGTTCTGTGTTCTGTGACTTTGGACCCGAGTTCACTGTTTTTGATGTTGATGGGGAGGATCCACACACTGGTATTATTGCATCCATAAGCAATGACAACCCTGCTCTAGTGTCAAGTGTTGATGATGAAAGACTTGAGTTTCAGGATGGGGATCTTGTTGTGTTCTCAGAAGTTCATGGAATGACAGAACTAAATGATGGAAAGCCAAGGAAGATAAAGAATGCTAGGGCTTATTCATTTACTCTCGAGGAGGATACCACGGGTTTTGGTACCTATGAGAAGGGGGGTATTGTCACACAGGTGAAGCAGCCCAAAGTCTTGAACTTTAAGCCGTTGAGAGAAGCACTCAATGATCCTGGCGATTTTCTTTTCAGTGATTTCTCCAAGTTTGATCGCCCACCTCTCCTACACTTGGCATTTCAAGCGCTGGACAAATTCGTGTCAGAGTCGGGGCGCTTCCCTATTCCTGGTTCAGACGAGGATGCTCAGAAGCTTATATCTATTGCTAGTAACATTAATGACAAACTGGGAGATGGGAGACTGGAAGATATTAATCCAAAACTTTTGCGGCACTTTGCTTTTGGGGCAAAGGCAGCACTAAACCCCATGGCTGCCATGTTTGGTGGTATTGTGGGTCAAGAGGTTGTAAAAGCTTGCTCTGGGAAGTTTCATCCACTCTTCCAGGTCAGTACACATTCTTGGTTTCACGTAGAAGTTAACCATTCTTTAGGAGCTAAGAATTATTTAGCGCCATGTTATTTTTCACTGCTGGTAGTAACCTAATGTTTAACTTGTTCCAACAGTTCTTCTACTTTGACTCAGTAGAATCACTTCCTACAGAGCCACTGCAGTCCAGTGATTTGAAACCATTAAATAGCCGTTATGATGCACAGATTTCAGTTTTTGGGTCCAAGCTACAGAAGAAACTGGAAGATTCCAAAGTATTTCTTGTTGGATCAGGGGCACTAGGATGTGAGTTATTAAAAAATTTGGCCCTGATGGGAGTTTCATGTAGCAACCATGGGAAGCTAACAGTCACTGATGATGATGTAATTGAGAAGAGTAACCTCAGTAGGCAGTTCCTCTTCCGTGATTGGAACATTGGGCAGGCCAAATCAACAGTTGCTGCTTCTGCGGCTGCATCAATAAATCCGTGTCTTAATGTTGAAGCCTTGCAGAATAGAGTTGGCCCTGAAACTGAGAATGTGTTTGATGATACCTTCTGGGAGAATTTAAGTGTTGTTATTAATGCGCTAGACAATGTCAATGCGAGGCTGTATGTTGATCAGAGGTGCTTATATTTTCAGAAAGCACTTCTTGAGTCGGGTACTCTTGGCGCAAAATGCAACACTCAGGTGGTTATTCCTCACCTAACAGAAAACTATGGTGCATCAAGAGACCCACCGGAGAAACAAGCACCCATGTGCACTGTGCACTCATTTCCACACAACATTGACCACTGCTTGACATGGGCTCGATCTGAGTTTGAGGGTTTGCTTGAGAAAACTCCAGCTGAAGTGAATGCATATTTATCCAAGCCAAGTGAATATGTCACTACCATGAGGAATGCTGGCGACGCACAGGCCAGGGATACCTTGGAGCGTGTTCTTGAGTGCCTTGATAGAGAAAGATGTGAGACATTCCAAGATTGCATTGGCTGGGCACGCCTGAAGTAAGTCCTTAGATAATAGACTTTATTATACATTTTTTCCTTTTGCGCCTCCTCTCTGTAATCATTAATTATTGTGATGGTTTGTTTCGATAATTCATGATGCCTGCTTTTGATGTACACAGGTTTGAAGATTATTTTTCCAACCGTGTGAAACAACTTATTTATACTTTTCCTGAAGATGCGACAACTAGTACTGGGGCTCCATTCTGGTCCGCCCCTAAGCGATTCCCCCATCCACTGCAGTTCTCAGCTGCTGATCCTGGTCACCTTCATTTTGTTATAGCAGCTGCCATACTAAGGGCAGAGACATTTGGGATTCCAATCCCTGATTGGGTTAGAAACACTAAGAAGGTGGCTGAAGCTGTTGAGAAAGTGGAAGTCTCAGAATTTCAGCCTAAGAAAGATGCGAAAATAGTTACTGATGATAAGGCTAACAATTTAACTCCTCAATCTATAGATGATGCACAGGTCATTAATGAATTGATTATCAAGTTAGAGCATTGTCGAGAGAAACTCCCACCAGGGTTCAGAATGAAACCAATTCAATTTGAGAAGGTCAATCTCTCTCTCTCTCTCTCTGTACTTATCGTTTCTGACCTATCCTTCATTTAGACACTCATATATTCTATGGTTAAGTTGACTGATTTTGATCACTCTGATAATTGGTTGAGGTTGATGGTTTTGAGTGATGCATGGGAAAGTTTCTTTATGTGACCTATAATGGGGATGGGCTAAACTTAGATGTGTGATGTATCATTCTTCAAATTTTAATTCTAATTCATGCCTTCACTTGGAGTTCATTGTTTCGTTCTGTCCTACAAGTTGCCAATCACCTTAGTGTTTTTTACACTTACCTTGGGGAGTTTGCAGGATGATGATACAAATTACCATATGGATCTGATAGCCGGGCTTGCCAATATGCGGGCTAGGAATTACAGCATTCCTGAGGTTGACAAGCTGAAAGCCAAGTTTATTGCTGGTAGGATTATCCCTGCAATTGCAACCACCACGGCAATGGCCACAGGACTTGTGTGCTTGGAGCTTTACAAGGTTTTGGATGGAGGCCACAAGCTAGAAGACTATAGAAACACATTTGCAAATCTAGCTCTACCTTTGTTCTCCATGGCTGAGCCAGTTCCACCCAAGGTCATCAAGCACCGTGACATGAGCTGGACCATCTGGGACAGGTGGATCCTGAGAGGCAATCCTACTCTGAGGGAACTTATTCAGTGGCTAAAGGACAAAGGACTGAAGGCTTATAGCATCTCATTTGAAAGTTGCCTGCTTTATAATACCATGTTTTCTCGACACCAAGACCGAATGGACAGGAAGATGGTTGATCTGGTTAGGGAAGTGGCAGGGGCAGAACTGCCTCCCTATCGTCGCCACTTTGATGTTGTTGTGGCTTGTGAGGATGAAGAGGAGAACGATATTGACATCCCTCTGGTATCCATTTACTTCCGTTAGGTTATGTTCTTGAATCCGCTGAGATTGTCGGTCTGTGATTTTAGGAAGAGAACTCTTGCGTGTTTAGGATATTTGACCTCAGACTTTCATTCCTGTGTTAATCGATGATGAGCACACAGTTGAACATTTTTATCCCAACTGTCTCATGTTCTACATGTATAATCTCTAAAAGTAAATCCCATTTAATAATAAATTTGCTTGTAATTTGCTGGCCGGATTTCCAGATAATCTTTTGCGACAGTTGATGTTTGAGTGTCGCCTTCTTGGGTTTTTGCCTGTACACTTGCCACCAATTTAAACAGTAAAAACTAAAAACTGTCAATAAATGAGACTTTCATGCAATGGAATACCATTGTTGTGAACCCGGTGCGGGTAATTTTTTCTACTTCTGTAAAACGATGGTGGTATAACTGCTTGTAGATCATTTTGATTGTTGACAGTTTTTAATGTATTTTTTACCTACTTCTTTATTTTTCCGATTTCGTCATTCATCCTCTTTCTTACTTTAAAAAAAAAAAATCATAAGTTGTTGAAGTAATTTAGACTATCAGCTGTAAACCACATACTTATAAAAATAAAAGGAGGCCCACACCACACAACAGCTAAACAAAGTCTTTCACCTTCGCCATTTCTTTCATGTATACTTATTACACTGCTGCCTTTCCATTGTAAGGTCCCAAAGGCAGTCTCACTTGGAAGGAGGATGGTTGTTCAGAAACATAGACATCAGTATTATAATCACAGGACAATTAAAACTGGTCATCTCTTGCTCCATAATTGTTCTCACAGTAACTTCTCATGTATCAATGTCACCAATTTCTTTGATTTATATAAAATCCTATTAACAATTCAAGTAACAGAGGCATCAAAGCTTTACATTGGTTCTTCTACATACAAATGTCAGCATGGACCACAAATTTGCCCAACCGCCTCATGTAATCCAGAAATGTGTCGCATCAGCTCTTATCAGCACCTTCATCAAATGCACCGGAGTTCACAACTCGGAAGTCCAGTTGCTTCTGATGCTTCAAGCGACGGCGTTCATCAAAACTTTCCCATCCTTCCGTCTGTGAAGATATTGCTGTTATATAATTAAATTTAACAAATTAGACTACTTGGCACAATGACATTTGATGCTAAAGTACACACCTGACGAAGAACATCCATGGTTATCTCTGTGTTGTGCAAATCAAGTGTTGTGAGCTGTAGGCACTTTTTGAATAGCGTAGAAGGAAGGGATTTCAACCCATTGTTGCTGAGACACAAAGACTGCACACAAGTATAAGTTTTGGAATGAATATCAGCCTGGAGATGAAGCACAAAATAGATGAGGTTGCTGCAATTCCTCTAAAAGAGCTCAAGAAAATTAGACTAAAATGATATTTTTACTACCTTCAAGTAAAAGTTTACTAAATTTCAAATTTTTGTGTGTGATTAATTGGCATAATAGGCAGTAGAAAGAGGCAAAGTTTAGGATGGCACGATACAGTAACCATTAGGGTTTAGGCCAGGTACAGGGAAAAGGAATAGGCGGATGCTTGGGGTACAAAGACAATGGCAGGCATCAACAGGATGAGCAGTGAAAAGCAGGTGCAATATGAATAAACTCTTATTTCCTAAGTGGATAAGACAACCCTAACAACACAATGAAAATTAATCTATGAAAAAAAAATGGAAAAAATAATAATTTGATTACGGGAAATGTAAACTGTGTAACCTCTCCAGAACCACCCTAACAAATTACAGTTCCATATCAAAACAAAGGAAGCGCTCTCTCTCTCTCTCTCTCTCTCTCTCTCTCTCTCTCTCTCTCTCAGGGGGTCAAAAAGGGAAGCTCTTAAACGTTTAAAGAGAATTTGAGTTTTTGAAGGAAAACAAGAAAGAAATATGGATAATAAGTTCAAAACACTAGGAATTAGTATAGACCTTGAGATTATGCAAATTGCCAAATGTCTCAGGCAACTCAGATAGAAGATTTGATGAAACATCAACCTGCACCATGCCAAAAGCAAGTCAGATATATGGACAAATCTACCCAAAATGAAAAAAAAAACCCCAGCCCTCCCAAAAGAAATGAAGAAAAGGAAAACATTACTACCTCAATAAGTCCAATACAGTCCCCTATGCACGTAGGCATGGTGTTTATCCTGGACACAGAGGTAGACAGGTAAGTTTAATCAAGACACAAGCCATTGGTTATCAAACATAACTTGCATCTTTAAGAAGTAGTTACTTCATCAACATAGCATTAATGCATAAAGGGGAAAAACTTAACAACCTACAAAACATGTTTTTTTTAAAAATCAAAATTTCCACTGAAACTAAATATCTTAGTTTCTGTATTTAAGACATAAAAGCATTTAGAGGAAAGAAAAGTAGATGTGAAACATTAAGTGCAGCTGCACGTCCACAATGTGAAATATATAAAATTTAAAATGATCATACCACATTAAGAAGAAAAGACATGCAAGGGAAGAAAAAAAAACAGATTTTGATTATGTAATTCCCAATAAGAAAAAACATGTCCTTGCTTAAAGTACTTTCAAAATCACCTGTTATTGTTGACTTTCAGAACTTCAAGCTTAGTCAAAAGTCCTATTTCATTTGGGAGGCTAGACAATTTGTTGTTTGCAACGTGAAATTGCCTCAGTGATGTCAACAAGCCCAATGCAGGTGGCAAAGTCGTTAAACTACATAAATTGTGCAATTCATCAAGCATCCAACATAATGTCAAGAAGTAGAAAATGAAAGCCACCCCAATTTAATGTGACATTGTAAAGCACAAAAGATACTCACTGGTTTTGGTCCAGAGACAGAACAGTTAGAAACTTCAAAGATACCAGAGCTTCCCAGTTAATAGAATTGTCCAATATATCATTTGCAGAGAGGAACAATTTCTACAAAATGTAGAGAATGAAGTGAAATTACGCATGAGTTATGGAAAGAATTTGATGAAGCTGGAGCGGAAATGCAAGAAAGAAACAGAGCTTTGTATACCTGCAAGGAACTTAGACAGCCAATCTTGGCAGGTACCGCTGGAATAGCATTATTGCTGAGTTCAATAACTCTTGCAGAAGTTCCACAAGCCCACACTTCATCGGGTATAGCCTTTTCAAATTAAACCAACACGAATTTTCAACATTGGAAAACGTTAGGTCCTCTAAAATATTACTTGGAAACAATTATCAAAATCGACATTCCCCTGCTAAGAGATTCCCATGTGCTATGATTCTAAGTCCCAATTAATTGTCTGAAGGAAAAACAATTCTGCAAGGCATACTACTGCTGTTAACAACCTCAAAACTTGTCTACCAAGCCAAACAGACGTTACATATAGATATCCATAATGTAAAATGGGATTAGAAAAATGCAAACAGTCCAAAAAGGGACAATCACCAAAGACTAGTTTCTTATACCCTCAAGTTGTAGTCACGGAGTCCAATAACCCCAGTAGCTTTCCATCGATCCAACCGGTTCTTATCAACAGAAACTTCTGTCTTTTCTTTTCCCAATGTAGTAGCATTGTTGGCTCTGGAAATGGGGCGTGTGGGAGCTTGTTTTAGGATGGGCCCGTCCTATTCAAACAAAAATTCCAGAAGTACTACATTATCAATAACGCATTTTCTATAACTCAACACTTCCAAAAACACGTAAATCTCCACGGTTACTATAATCCAAAGTTTCATGAAATTTATGACCAACATTTTTACTCGAGAAAAAATAAATTAAAGATCTTTCTTTGATAAAATTGCTTTCTTCTCATTTATTTTCTCAACTGCCAAACAAGTGGGTTCTTCCATCTCCATCAAAATCAAATTCCCAATTCAAGTTCAGATTTCAAGAAAGCAAAAAGATAGAAAAGAATTGAGTTTTATCTACAATACCCCTTGATGCAAGCCCTGAGAAGCCATGAGCATGATCCTGGACCCATTAGCGACCTCAGACTCCTTCAGTGTCATTCCATCCACCAAAAGCTTCCCTATCACAAAATACCCAGAACCCAAAAATTAAAATAAAACTGAAAATGAAAAACTTGCCATTCATAATTCATTACAGCTCAGAGAAATTCAATCAAATTTTACAGAGGAGAAAAAGGAGACACCTTTGCAAATGAGCTTTTGGCCACGAGGGAGGACATTGGTGAGAGGTTGCAGAAGGGACTTGAGGTCTTTGATGGTTGAGTCCGGAGAAAGATTTGTGATGGGTATGGTTCTGCCACTGAACTTCACGCTGAGGCTTATGTTGGCTCCGCTATCCTCACCTCCGGTGACACTACTCTCCATTTCCTCTCTTTGCAAATTGCAGTGAGTTATTGGTGTTGGTCGTCTTCTTGGTAATTCTCTGTGGTGAATAATTTGCAGATTCTTCATTTTACGTCCGTATTTATATACACACCCAAAAAATGAATAATTTGTCAGCTCCAAGTTAAGTACAAATTTTATGGGCCGAGAGGTCTGGGCCAGCCCGAAATGCAACCCAAATCCATTTCAACAATGTAGGAGTCTATCTAAACGAAAAGTTAAGGGCATTTCGGTCCTTTGACACAAATGGTGTTCATTAAGAAGACTAGGTTTTGGTTTGGTTTGGTTAGGTTAGGGCTCTCTTCTTCTTTTAACTCTGTGCATCATACTCTCTATTTCGGCTTCCTCCTCTCTGACGAGTGACGACTACAAGGGTTGAACAGTAAGTACTAAATTCTAACCAAAAGATTTCCATTATCTGCCTATGCAAGGCTTCCTCCTCTCTTTTGTTTTCTTTTGGTTGGCTTCTCTTTAATATTTTGATGATTTCGTTACGAAAGTTATGCAATTGTGTCTGTCAAAGGGAGCTGTAATATATTGAAGACAATGCTGAAGAATGAGTTGCTTTCGTACGTTAAGATGTGGGGTCGTCAGCCATGTCGTCTAAATATTAGTCAACAACTATGTTGTTGTTTCTTTTCGGAGCGTGAGATTTTTGTCGTTAAAACTGAAGAAAGTGAAATTTTGAAAATGTTGACGCCAAAAAGTGGTTTCCAAGTTTTGAGGGTCAACTTAGTAAATTTGTGTCTTCGGTAGACTGTGCGATCTGCAATATGAGCAAACGCACGGTAATTCCTAGGGCACCGGTGTGGTACCGGCCGAAGGCTCTCCGATGCTTAAGTAAGTTCGGGAATAGAAAGTTTAACTGACAGATCAATAGGCTTGTATGCCGTTAGTTCTGATTACCTCCATTTTGGGATAGTTGGCCTCCTTTTATAGGCCTTGGGAGGTGTGCATTTTGTTGATAATTTCGATGTGGGACTGTGGACGTCGCTTGGGAGCGTGCCACGTGTCCCAGGTGAGGGTGTTGCCCTAATGGAGAGATCGGTAGGTAGAGTGCCGAGGGCGCCTCTGACCTGGCCCAATTTTCTCCAGGTGTCTTGCTCTCATTGGCTGCTTATTTTGGGTGTAAACAATACACATTGTCAGATCTGAGTCTCTGGGATTTTAATTTATATGCATCCTACGAGCATATGCCTAAATTTGTATCTCTACTATTTCGTTGCTGGTAATTTCTTTATTCATTGCTTGATGGTGATTGTGTCTGTGACCTGTAGATTAACATCCACCTCAAAAGAATACTCACTGGTTTTGGTCCAGCATATCATTTCTATTGAGGAACAATTGCTACAAAATTTTGAGAATTGAGCGCAAAAGTTATGGAAAGAAGTTGATGAAGCTGGAGCACAAGTTCCATAAGCCCAGACTTCATCAGGTCTGCAAGGCATACTACTTCTGTTAACAACCTCAATACTTGTGTCCCAAGCCAAACAGACGTTACATACAGATATCCTCATAATGTAAAATGTGATTTGAAAAATGCAAATAGGGACAATCACCAAAGTACGAGTTTCTTATACCCACAGGCCCCGTTTGGTGGCCAAGACTAGACAAGATAGGACCAAATTACAATTCTAGGGCTGGATTGGTTAGGACCAGTCAAGAATCCTGTCCATTATTTGGTGCAACACCACACTGGACCAGACTTTTTTTTTTTAAAAGGAAAAATTATCAAGAGAGATCTATCAGTGGAACAAAGATAGATCTAACAAATAGAAAGAAAAGAAGAAGAAGAAATGAAGAGGAGAGCAAAGTAGTTCAGAATCTAAGCGGCAGGAAAGAGCAGAGGATTTTTATGCACACACACCCAAGTTCCAACCCAACAAAAGTCAGTTCCAACTTAAATACAAAATTTAAAAAAAGAAAAGAAAAAAAAATTCTTAGCAAAAGTGCATGGGCCGAGCTGGTCTGGTCCAGCCCGAAAAGGCTAAGGGCATTTCAGTCCTTTGACACAAATGGTGTCCATTTAAGAAGACAAAGTTTTGGTTTGGTGTCCATTAGGGCTCTTTTCTTCTATTAAGTCTGTGCGTCCTCTTCTCTATTTCGGCATCCTCCTCGCTGACGAGTGACGACTACAAGGGTTGAACAGTAAGTACTAAATTCTAACGAAAAGATTTCCATTATCTCTATTCTCTCTGCCTATTTGTTGTTGTTTTTGTTTTGAACATATACATATGTACTGTTTTCGTTTTCGTTTTTGTTTTCTTACGAAAGTTATGCAATTGTGTCTGTCAAAGGGAGCAGTAATATATCGAAGACAATGCTGAAGAATGAGTTGTTTTCGTACGTCAAGATTTGGGGTCGTCGGCCATGTCGTCTAAATATTAGTCAACAATTATGTTGTCGTTTCTTTCCGGTGCGTGAGTTTTTGGTCGTTAAAGCTGAAGAAAGTGAAAATTTGAAGGCTACAATCAAACCACCGCCCACGGATAAGGATTGGTACTTGTACCTGAAACTTGAATCCATGGATTCCACGGTGAGACAACTATGCCGTCTAAATATTAGTAACTTGTGCAAAAGTAGCTCTCGCAAGCCTCCTAGGTTTGAGACTCTATTTGAAATTTCGTATGGTGATGATCGTGTCGACGATGACCGTGGTTGGGACGGCCATTGTTCGGACCACCATGGTTGGGACTGCCTTTGGTGGGACTCTCGTTGTTGGAACGAGATTACGTGCTCCAAAACTCCCCACGTAAAGGAGGTAGGGAGACATATAATCGTGGGTTCCAAATTCTATAAGGTGTGGGGTGAATTCGACACCAGATTTTTTAACAATGGTAATTTCATTGACTATGAAAGCACGGGTTTTAGGTCAAATGTTGAATCCTATGATCTCACTCATGACAGTACAGATGAGCAAGGTCCATCGATGAGCATTTGTCAGAAGCATACCATTCCCAGCTTGATTGATCCTAGGATCATACTTGGGAAAAAAATCATGTTCAATCTGGAGGACAAAACCTATGTTCTTGCATGTCAAGATGGTGGTCATAACTCTCTTGAGCCACCCCTTTTCAAGGTTTTCGATCCCTGTCAACAATCCTGGAAGGATCTCCCTTATCCCCCTTGCTTCAAACCACATGGTCATGGTGATCACTTTACTTGGGACCACAAGGTCTTTTTTATGAGATATAAATATAATGTTGCATACGCTTTTGACCCTCACAAAGAGAAATGGTCAGAAATAAAAATCAAAGTCCTGAATAGTAAGAGGTTTGAGAGCTTTTGGGTTGTTGCATAGTTGCAGGGTTTTCTCATTGGCATGCTTCGGGACCGTAAAGAGCTTGTTGCTTGGAAGTTGGACGGCGATGGGTTCCCCCAGCGGCATCGGGTGCTACATGAACTTGGCGATATCTTTTCTCCTTTCTTAATTCCTGAACATTGTTACTTGGGCCATCTTGATGGCGAGGGTCGTATGTGGTTCGTTTATAATGCAAATGTGGGTAAGAGATATTATGACGAATTCGAACCCGAAGGGGGTTACGTCCGTGTAGCAGTGTTTACAGTATCCATCTCAAAAGATCCTGTTGGTAATCCAGTCCTCTCTGCAGATCTCGAGGCTGCAGAATATTATGGTTTCAATGATTATTGCAAAATTTCCTCTGCCTGTGTTATGTGCCATCATGTGAAGGAGAATTTTAAGCCTAGAAAATTTTGTGGGGTCGTCGTACCAAACCGTCCTTATAGTCAGCGTCGTCGTAAGGGCAAATATTAGTTTCTCTAACACGGTTCTTTTCCACATCAAATGGATGGATCAAATGAATAGTGATATATCTGCGTGCATGAGGTAGGGGAAAACTACATGATATATCTGTCTGCACATGTGTTATTTGATTCTTGCCATGAGAGCTACTGTTGTAGAACATGAAGTTTATATAGCTAGCATGTTCTCTCTTTCAAGATTGCAATACTCATTGATTATGAGAGATCTGAGGGATGTAAAACAGTTTCGTTTCGTACGGGCTTGAATTGAATGTGCTCGTTTTAGCACATGTAGGCTTATATATCTTAGGTGCCTAGTTCACTCAGCCAGACTATATTTGCAGGTCGTGGAACTTTTATAAATTGTTCTAGCTAGCTAATATACTATGTTAAGTGTGTGCAAACTTTCATTTGCCTCTTATAGTCTTACTGGTTCCAATTCCATCTACGCTTTTAAACTTAGTTCACTCCATGTGGATGTCTCAGGTTACTGAAGACCCTGGGAAGGTAGTTACTGTTCAAAGAAACTTGAGCAAGTTTGGTATCAAACAACTTGCAAGAACTGGAAAGACAAGTTGTATACTTGCATTCCGATGTTTATGCATGCATATGCAAAGATGTACATTTATTTATGTATGTGTTAATGAGGCAAGCCAAACCCCGAATGGGGATTAATCCCATCCTTCGGGTGTGGGGACACCTCATGGTATATACCCAAAAAAAAAAGATGTACATTTATTTATGTATGTGTTAATGGGTGCACCCTCTAAATTTGATTCCATTAGACCATAAAACTACAAAAAGTGATAATTGATGAACAGGAATCGCCATATAATTCAATTCCTTAATTAAAAATCTTTCCTGTGCCACTTAACCACCTATAGATGGTTGGTCTTTGTAGTCTGTTCTTGGTGCAGCCATACATAAATTGAAGTTGAATGTTGTTAACGACGTGGAAGTCAAAGGGTTAGGTGGGATCATTTAGAAATGAGAAAATATTCGAATATATTTAAAGAGGGGTTATTTACTCAAATAGTCCTTAAACTTATACCCGAGTTGCATTTTGGTCCCTCAACTACATTATTTGTTCAAATGGTTCACAAACTCTTTATTAATCGGCGCATTGGTCCTACTGTTATAATTTTAAAAAATAAAATTATAAAAAATTGTTTTGAAATGCATCAATTTTTTCAAAATAGCCGTTGTGTGAATTTTTTTTTTTAAAAAAAAAAATTTTAAGGAACCTAAAATATGTCTATAAATTTCTTTAAAAAATTTCACACTCATTTCATTCCACATTTCTTTAAATAATACATAGTAGTGGAATGT